TTTACCACAATGTCGTCGACATATACCTCTAGATTCTTGCCAATCTGAGCGTGGAAGACAATGGTTACCATTTTCTGATAAGTAGCACCTGCGTTCTTCAAGCCAAACGGCATCATGACATAACAATAAATTTCATCGGCAGCATAGAACGCGGTTTTCTCTTCATCTTCTGGAGCCATTGGCACCTACTGATACCCCGAATATGCGTCCAAGAGGCTTAACCTCTCATTGCCTGAAGCTGCTTCAACTAGTTTGTCAATGCTCGGCATTGGATAGCAATCATTAGGGCAGGCATTGTTAAGATTTGTATAATCAATGCACATTCGCCATTTGCCATTTGCCTTCTTCATCAGAACTGGGTTAGCCACCCATTCACAGTAATCAACTTTCCTGACAAAACCAGCCTATAAGAGCTTCTCTACCTCGTCTTTAATAGCCTGAAGCCTCTCACCCCCAAAGAGACACCGCTTCTGGGCCACTGGTTTCTTCAATGGATTGGTGCTAAGCTTATGTTGAGAGACTGAATTTGGAATTCCTGGCATGTCTGCCGAAGTCCATGCGAATACATCATTATTAGCTTGAAGAAAAGCTATTAGCTCTGCCCTTTCCTCTGGGTTCAATCTAGTTCCGATCTGTGTCTTTCGGCTCGGATCTCTGTCATCAATGAGCACTTCTTCAACATCTTCGATCGGAGCAGCTCTGGTTTCATCTTCTGGTCGATTATCTACGATTTCAACACCCATAACTTGTTGATTATCAGGAATTTGCTGGGGAATGGCCTCGAGTGTCTGAGCTTTGCCTTTCATGGGTTGTGTTATCGAGGTGATATAACAATGCCTGGCCACCTCCTAGTTTCCTCGCAGTGTTGCTATTCCCATAGGAGTTGGGAACTTCATACAGAGGTGAGACTGGGAAACTACAGCTCGGATTTCAGTCAGTGTGGGTCGGCCAATAACAATGTTGAAAGAGGACACCATCTTTACTACGAGGAACCAGACCGACGGGGTCACATAGGTCCTGCCACTCCCAAAAGCCACATGTAGAGTAAGAACTCCTTCTACCGGAACAGGTTGGTTGTTGAAACCATAGATAGGACCATCATATTTTTGCAACAATGCTGGATCTAATCCCAGACTCTCGAAACAGTGGAAGTACATGACGTCTGGTGCACTCCCGGTGTCAACAAGGACACGCTGTACTTCACAGTTGTTAATCATGACAGAAGTGACCAAGGGATCATTGTGGGGTGTGACAACTGTATCGAGATCAGCAGACGTGAAAGTAATGGGCTGATTTTTCCACTCAGCATCGTCAATCTTCCGCTTCTGAGCTCGGTTTTGATGTTTAACCTCCCTGACATACAGCTTTCGCTGCTTAGAGCTCAGTCCACCTGCTTCAAGGCCTCCCGTAATCATATGTATGATTCTAGCTAGTGGTGGGAGTGGAGGTGGGGCTTGCTGATATCCTACACCTTGCCTATTTGGAGGATTGCGGACTCCTTGAGGCTGCGGCCTCTGTTTTCTGATAAACCTAGGCTGTTCAGTTTTCTGAACATACTCGTTTAGCATTCCCTTCTGAGCTAAATTTTCCAGTTCGGACTTTAAACTGTTACACTGCTCTGTAGTATGGCCTTGATCTTGATGAAAATCACAATATCTGGTGTGATCTCGACTGGCAGCAGCAGTTTTCATCGGGCCAGGACGCCTTAAATCCATTTTATTCTTGATCTGCATAAAAATTTGTGACCTCGGCAGATTAAAGAGAGTCCAATTAACTGGAGGTTTACCTGTAGATTGTTGCGGAGGTGTTGAGTTCGTCCTTCCGAATCTCGTTGGGGAGGTCAACATCGGACCTCGGTTCTGCGCCATTCTCATCCTTTTCCCGCTCGGATTGTCATCTCTCCATTTTGGGTTCTGGTTCTTAGAGGAAGGTGGGTTTTGCGCCAGGGCATATTCCTCAGCAGTTATGAATTTCAGAGATCTGTCGTTTACCTCGCTAAAGGTGGTGGCAGCATGTTTGATCAAACTGTCTCGGAACCTGTCATGTTTGAGACCAGAGATTACAGCTGCGATGCCCACAGCTTGGTCGAAGGAATTAACCTCCAACACCGCATCATTGAACCTGCTCATGTAGTTCTTTAGAGACTCTCCGTCCCTTTGTTTAACTCGCATCAATTCAGTAGTAGTTTTCTTAATCAACCTTCTACTGGAAAACTTAGTGGCAAAGGCAGATGCCATTTCTGTGTAAGAACTAATTGACCTCGGAGGTAGACTATAATACCAAGTTCAAGCATTACCTCGCAGAGTAGAGGGGAAGATTTTGCACATTAACGCGTCAGAAGCGTTCTGAGCTTGCATACAAGAGTAGAAAGCATGCAGGTGATCATCGTGGTCCTTCGTCCCATCATAAGTCTCCAATTGTGGTATTTTGAAACCAGCAGGATAGGGTTCTAGAGTAATGTTGGTATTCAAAGGGTGAGGTATAGAATTAGCAGCATGGTGTGGGGGTGGAGCACCTCGGTGTTCGGCTACTAGCTTTTCCAGGCTATCGAGACGGCGAGTAACATCATCAGGGATGGGTTGTTGAGCGGGTGCTATGTGGGATTGACCCTGAGATTCACTAACAGCGGGAGCAGATTGAACCGGTTGAGGATTCTGTTGTGGAGCTGGGGGTTGTTGAGCAGGGTTTAGTAAATTAATGAGAGGATCACCAGGATTATTTCTAGCTAAAAGCTGAGCCAGTACCAACTGAAAAACACCAAACTGCTGCTGCATGGCAGCAAGCTGAGCTGTCACCATGTCTTGGTTGGCAGTGGAAGTTGAATTGTGAGCTGAGATATGGGGTTGGTTTTCATCTCCTCCTTCTGCCTGATCAACAGGAGGGAATATGATTGGGACCTGAGGTGGAAGCTGAGGTTGGATTTGAGGTGGGATCAGAGGTGGAAGGGTGTTGGGTGGTTGACCTTGCCCATGAGGCAGAGATGAATTACCAGCTCGGACTGATCGAGTGTGAACCATGATGAAAGAGCAAC